TCTTCATTCGGCCCAGACACCTGACCATACCTAAAGGTGTGTTTAGGGAAGTGTAAAACTGCATGTTTCATACCCATCTACAGGCAGATATTTCCTCTGCCCCTGGCTGGGCTGCTGGATTTGGGCCATCATGTGGGGTGGGGGGTGCCTAAACCATTTGTGCATACCAGGAACTAGACTGAGCAATCCGTTCAGGTTGAGTGACTCTAAAATTTCTACACAAGGTGTCTTAATGAGTGATGATTAACTTTTTTGTGTTCGGAAACAGACGCCCGCCAGCTGCAGCTTGTTTCCCAGCACAGCAAATCCTGGCAGCATGAGTTGTACTGATAAAACTCAACTGGCACCCGCTTCTAGAAGACGACTTTATGAGTTTTGCAGCAGCCCACTCGAAAACTCACTTTGTCGGATATATAAAGGCAAACAGTTTACCTCCATCTATCCCCGCTTGCATTCCAGTACACTCCAGACACAGTCTGCCATGCTGTGACCTCCCAGGCTTCCATAACAGTCACTCAGGAGTGGACTTCTTCGCTAGCCCACACATACTCTCTGCATGAAAGAGATGACAAACGTTGGCCTTTGCCACGTGCGTTCCCTGTGTGTTACTGATGCTGTCTCTGGCTTCCAGGAGACTAGACAGCAGGCAGCTGCATGTCTCCACACTGTCAGACAATAGTGGGCAGGCACACGTTTCAGGGTAGGGGTGAAAAGCTCATGAGTGTGTGTGATTTTTTTTTTTCTGGTGGGGGAGTTGTGTCTAATGAGAGTTCAAAAAGCTCATTAAGTGCATACCAAGTGAAAAAAGGAGATTGCTATGACTGTGCCATAGCCTACTGACCTGAAGTCAGGAAACATGCAAAGCCGCATACAAAACACACCGACGCCTTTCACAAGACCTTTCGCTTGGTTTAACATACTAATGTGATAGCAGCACAAAAATAGCACTTGGATTTTCTCACTTGTATTAAACCGCCACACGCTGTTGCTTAATAAATGCCAGAACCAGTGCAGAAATGCGAGTGCTGCTAGGTAGAGGGTCAATCTGAATATTTGCTTTTTATTGATCACAACAATTTAGATCACGAGAACATTAAACTAGCATTAAAACTGTGTGAATCATTTTATATTAGATGTCCCAACAGATATGATTTTAAAGCTAACAGAAATAAAAGATATACTACACATTTTTTTATATACCATGGACGGGTTATTTTGTGCCATCAAGTAAAACGAGATTTAGTTTCTGTTAGCAAGAATAACAAACTTTTCAAATGGTTTTAAGAGTCTCTTGCCAGAGGAAAAGTCCTGACAGCTGGTTGTGAAGTCAAAGTTTTCACCATGCTGCATAGGATGATTGTGAATTTGGGGGCGTGGGGGGTCTGAGTCAGCCTGGGTGGGTTAATGGTCATGGACCATGTGGAATTTGGCCCTTTGGCGAAGGAAGTCCCTGTACCGCTCCTCACAGGACCTCCTAGTTTTGTATGGAAAAGCATGACCTGTTTCCTGAGTCACTGGTGTGTGTGTGTGTGTGTGTGTGTGTGTGTGTGTGTGTGTGTGTGTGTGTGTGTGTGTGTGTGTGTGTGTGT